GCTCAATATATAAATGATTTATATACGGATCAATTTGTTATTTCAATTTCACAATTTCTTTTTCGATTTTAGTAATGAAGTATTTTGTATAAATTATTATAACCTGAAATTATATTAGAAATGTAATAAATAAAAGGCTGTTCATTTATACAAAAATGTTAATAGGGATGTAACAATTAGTAGAATGTGTGTGAAAAGTAGTATGGGTGATTTTAGTTGTGGAGAATTTTTTTTTAAAATTTTAAAAGGAGTACAACAAGTAGAATTATGGGTGATTTAAGAATATGTGTGTAAATAATAGAATGAGAGATGTAAATAGACGCACTTAATTATTAAACTTATCTTTATATTGCATGCGTTTTGATTTTTACTCTTATTATTAATTAATACTCTTTTGATTAATATAATTATTTAATTAAAAAAATATTAATCAATAATAATAAATAAAAATTCAGACTCATGCATTCAAGCGTATTTGTCTCCTTTCTCTATATATAATATATTACAGAACCTATACAATATTATATAAGCATAAAAAAACTATTGTTCAGCTTTCAACTAAAACGTGTGTTTTGTTAAAATTTAAATTTTTTTGAAAAAAAAAGCGTTATAACATAACTAAAATCATCGATTTGCACTATAACAGAACTCATATAACAAAGAAGCACTTAAGTTTTTCTGTAGCTTGGAAAGAAACTCCCCTATATAAAATAAAACCATTATTAGCACCTAATAAAAATAAAAGGAAAAAGAATCCATAGTAGGGGGAGAAATTATCCAGCAAAAACATAAGACAGCTTGCAGCCAAAAACGAGACAACAACGCCATCGAAACGCCGCCCGCATGCAGAGAATATCCAACACGCATAACCCAACCGTGTCCGTGTGCCAGCCAGCTGGAAAACTACTGTGAAAATCAGATTTCTAAATTCGGAAAGAAACGTGACATAAAATCAACTCATCCACTAATTGAAAGCAATTTTTTTTTTTTTTTTTTTAAACGAGTCAAACCGCGAAAACTTAAAAAAAAAAAAATGTTATATTTTCACGTGTTAACAAGATTATACGTAGAGAGTGTTTGATATGCAGTAATCAATAAAAATTATATTTTTGAGAAGTGATAGATGGTAATATAATTTTTTAAAAATAATACATTATTGTGTTTAGTTTGATACATAAATTTTTTTTAAATTCTTAAAAATATTATTTAGTTGTGAATGAGAATGTTGTGTATTAAAAAAACATATTTTTAAAAACAGTAAAGTTATTTCTACGATAGAAAAGTATTAGCATGCAGACGCAGGCCGCAGTGCCAATTAAGCATGTTTTTAAGAAATATTTTCATGCAACTTTTTAAACAACATAATCGATGGATTATTTGTTTTATCCCATCTTAGAATCCTCTTATTTGTTTCATGGTAGGGAACGTGTCAATTTATCTTGATAATTACTTCTCAAAATCCAATATCTTGTTTTTAGGAAAAAGAAAAAATGAGTAAATTTTCAACTGTAATTGTAAAAATGAAAAATGAAAACTGTATAAAACTATCACTTGAATGATTTTGTTAATTTACCTATTCATCCCAAAAAACATAAACGAAGTGGGCCAAAAGTCGTTTTTTTAAATTAATTACACTACATGTTAAATTTCATACTTTGAGTTGAAATTTTTAAAATTTTAAGAATATTACAAATATACTAAAAAAACATAGTAATTATCATAAAAATATCACATTTTGTACTATATAATATTATACTTATTGTTTTAGTATTCTCCAATTTTACTATTCTTGTAATATTTTAAAAATTTTGCTATATTAAACTTTACTATATAAATTTTGCTATATGTGTAATCACCTAGGCTAATATTATGTTAGTATTCTATTTTAAAAGCTTAAACTATGTTATATGTGTAATGAGCTCTGTTAATATTATATTAGTTTATTAGTCTATCTTAAAAGCTTAAACTGTTAGGTACGGCGACTAACTAGTTAAACATTTGTGGAGAATCTGATGGATTAAATTATTCAAAAGGCAAAATGCACATATGAGATTTTTGTTGTAAGATAATAATAAAATAATATTTAAAATATATCTCAAATTTTCACCTATATATTAATTAGGTGTAGGGTTTAACTCTAGATTAATTAAAATCATATTAGATTAAATAAAATACGTTAGTTTTTTACAATAAAAACTATTTTTGAGCTGTGATATTAGTTTTTTAATTATATAATATATGAGTAAAAAAAATTTTATGTCACGTATTTTAAATTTTTAATACGAATATTATAATCAAACCGTCAAAAAATTAATCTTACGCTTAAAATAACATTTAATATTAGTATAAGAACGATGAGATAACAATTACCATAAGAATTTCCGATTAAATTATGTCCCACTACCTTACAAAAGATTGTTTGGCAAAAAAATTAGATTATGGAGTTCTCCTTGCGTGCCCGCATGTTTGAAAAAGATGGTGTAAGTGGGGCCCACACGGTCTATTCGGCCGCGCAACCACAGGTGCTTTTTGGCTTTTTTTGGTTTTTCCCATGTGAGCTCCACCCCAAACGCCTCTGCTTTTGATGCCGTTTGGCGTGATCGACTGAAGAGCTGCTGTCCCGGCGTGATTGCAGCCCAACACTTTGGTGAGGGAATATAGATTATAATATATATAATATATATATAGAGAGATTTTCTAATTATTAGATTTTTTCTAATTATAATATATATCTCAACGAAAAATATAAATATAGACTCTAACTTAGGCTTGTTTTTTAGAGTAAAAAAGTTTAAACTCAAATTATAATTTTTTTAAGTTTATGTTCTTTTATAAAATTTGAGTTTGAATTTGAATTTTAACTCGAGTTTTAACTTGAGTTTGGAGCTAAAATTTGAGTTCAAATTTTTCTTTAAACTCAAGTTTTTAGGGCCCGATTAGTTCGCTGATTCGAGTTTTTAATTTGAGTTGAAATGTGACTTTATGTAAAAGTTTTTTACTGTAGTAAAAAAGTTAGATGCTACTGTTTCTGAGAGCTTTTTACTGTAACAAAACTTAAATTCTAAATTCAAATAGGTGAAATGAACAGAACTTTAAATTCAAACTCATATTAATAAATAATATTTTTTTTATTCTTAATAACGTCATAACTTCTTTTTCCATCCAGATTTTGACGTGCAATTCTCTTGATAGAAGAAGACAAAAACAACTCCAATGTACATAATTTGCTTGGGCTTTGTTTTCATTTTTGTTGTCAATTGATTTTCTTTTATTTTTCGTTTTTTCCCTTTGAGGCCCCTGACGGCCTGATATATGTTTTGCTTAAATTCTAATGCTCCAGCTTTTTTTTAATTCTTTGTTGTTTTTGGTTTTTTCTTTTCTTTTTTTCTTTTTTTTTAATCCGTTTTGAAGCCATCAATCATTTTGTAGTTTTTCTTTTCTTTTTCCGAATGTATGCATGTTACGCCCCTTTTTTTATTTTTTTTTATTTTTATAATTACGTTCTATTCTTGCCATGCTCATTGAAGTTGTTTGTATGCTCCATATTGTTCTTGCTTGCTGGAGGATTGATATTGTTTATGCTCCATTATTGGATGATTGCTCATCTGGGTTGTTGGACTTTGGCTTACAAATTTTATGTTTTGCAAAATGATTTTTGTTTCCGCCTTATATGTATTAGTTTCGCTAATGTATATGTGTGTGTATATATACATATATTATTTTTATAGAATCCTTAATTAGTATCCGAATATGTATTGAATCTCTCTCTTTTTTCTCCTATTATAGGTAATCATGAAATCAAATGGATGCCACAAAGAAACTATTGAAGGCGTGGTTGACGAAAATAGACTCATGAAGGGAGTAATGACATGATTGTAAATAATTGAAAAAAGAATGACTTATTATTAAGTTAGTTTGTTTCAAAAAAAAAAAAAAAAAAAAAGAGATAACACGTATTAAAAGATTAGATTAGAGTCTATAACAGAGAGTTTACAATAGAATCTGTATTTAGAATTCGTTTGGTACGATGATTCAAACCAGAGTGATTCTAATCATGATTCTGAAATCATAATCATAATTCATAATTTTAGGTTTAAATCATGATTATGAAACCATGATTTAGAATCAGGGGTTTAAATCACCTTGAATCAAGAGATAGTGGTTTTAAAATCATGAGTGATTATAGTTTAAAACATCACATCAGATTCTGAATCATAATTCAAAATTATCCAAACTAAACACTAATTTTGAATCATGATTTAAAATCACTGTAAATAAACACTGATTCTAAATCAAAATCCAAAATCATAATTTTAAATTTATCATCCAAAATCATAATTTTAAATTTATGTACCAAACGCCTCCTTAGAGTTCCTCATTTCTCTATTGATCTCTGTTAGGTAGGTATTTCGGTTATTCCAAGGCTTATTATGGCGCGTTGAAAAACTACACAATGTTGTTCATCTTCATCATGATCTTCTTTTGCCCTTGGTCATAATGGCACTCCCTCTAGATCACTACAAAAATATTTTACTATTAAGTTGGTTGAACTTTTGTTTTTTATGTTTCATTCAATCAAATATAGATCACGGTTTGGTTGGCTTGTCATTTTTTGCTATTTGGACAATCTAATCAAGTACAAAACGTGTTCAATGTTCACACCCAAATTTCTTTTGGTTTTGATTGACGTTTTCTAGGGTAGTTCAAGTTACCATCAGTTGACCCAATTTCTTTTTTCTTCTTTTTTTTTTTTTTAAACCTCAACGTGACAGAGTTATTCGTTAATTTTGAGATTGTTTATTATATAAATTTTTTAAAATTTAATTAAATTAGAACAAAACGCATTAGTAACGATGAATAAGCTCAATTAAGTTTGTTTTAAAGGTTATTTTTATATCAAAACTGAGTTTTGAGTTATTTTCCCTTAATTCAAATTGTTAAGCTCATTCTCCTTTTTTTTTTTTTTTTTGAAAGTGTTCATTCTTCTAATTATGCACAACTCCAGATAATATTTGCTTTCCCTTTATTTAGAAACCCATTAGTCACGATGATTGCATTCTTAGGTCATTGCAGAGAGTCTACATAAGGAGGAAATTAAAGGCCTCAAAGCAATGCTCACTTAACATGCATTTCTGAGAAGTGTGTCAAAATAACCTACAAAGAACTGAAGACGGATTTGGCCCCGGTTCACGGCTCACAGAAGCCTGAGTCGAGCAACTCGTGGAAGCTGAAAGCAGAACTTCACAGGAATTCGAACTTTTGTGTTGAATATTCCTTGCTTTTCGATCTCAACTACCATGTTTGTAACTTATGAATGCATACATATCGGGCCGAAATGGATGGAGATGTATATCAAACAGAGCTCAAAAGAGAAGAGCAGCCATATGAAGTTATGAAGGAATTGTTTTCAGCTCAAGCCAAAACTACACTAGAGACAAAAAAGGAGATTTATTGACCTCACTCACCAATTTCCTAATTCGGTTCTTTGATAATTTATATCAAGCCTAGGAATCTAATCTACCCTAGTCTGATAAATGTGTCACTTGGGGACCCCTTGGAAGTGTGAGCATGAATAATTTGTTTCCCTCAACAGAGATAACGTGCACAAACTATAATTTATGCGCCTGAATGCATCTTACATCGGCAACAAGATGACGGATGTGTGGAGCATACCATTTCACTCGCTCCAAATGTTCCACAGAGACTTCCCAGCAAAGACCTGCATACAAGACACATTTTAACAATTTTAAGACTAGACTAGACAAAGAAAAAGAAGTGACAGATTCTCTAAAGTGCCTAGCACTCGAGTCGAAATTGATATACCTTCAGATTTAGCAATCTCACTTATTGAGTTTGACACATGTTCAACCCATGAACCTTCCTCTGAGTCCTTCACATTCCCATGAATGTGTAACATCCCACCCTCACTCCTGTATCCACAAGAGAATATCAAAATATGTGCGAGTAGAAACTTAAAAAGGAAACTACATCATATAGAATAAGAAACCCAACCTGCCTACTTATGGCACTGAAGCTAAATATTTAGCTAGGTTTATAAGGATGAATTAGCTTAAGATATTTAGTGGGATAATCAACAATCGTAACAGATTTAAGAATAACATATGTAAAAGAGAAAACATAAAAAAGAACGACATTAAATGTTGGGAGACATCACCTTAATGCCCGTACAGCAGTAATCCAACTACCTTCGCTTGTTGGAAGAAGACCGAGACAAACTCGGTCAGACACTCTCTGTAAGAAAACAATCAAGACACTAGTGATGACAACAATTTAGCAAGACCCTACTATTTTGGATGAATGACTTCCAATACATTTTAGTTTACAATTGAACAAGAACCATCATGCAATGATACCTTAGGGGCTGTAACTCTGCTGTCTCCCTCAAGTATGATACAGCGATCAGCTACTGAATTTGATTGTAGATTTCGTTTAAGTGCCTCGACAGCATGGGGATTCCATTCACAAGCATAAACTAGTTTTGCCTTGGCCCTAATTCAACCAACTTCATCACTCAAACTAATGCCAATTTACAAATTTAAAAAGAAGAAACTGCAGACTACATGACCAGGTAGAACATAAGCATAGCATAGGAAAAGGTCAGGTGGAAGAATGTTTCAATATGAAGGTTCAAGACAACAATCATCATTCGTAATAGAACCGACAAGGTGACCGAGCCAAACTACAGCCCAACCAAAGTTTTTAGTTTTACTATTTGCCTATTAACTTTTTTTTTTTTCCTTTTTTCCTTTTAGGCCGATTGGAAAGTCAGAATCATTTGATTCTGAAGTCCATCACGTGATTATGATTTTCTTCAAGAATAAACAACCTCCAACTGCACACTATGCCTTATCTTTTCTTAGCACTCCTATTACTAGGAAAATCTCAACCGCAGACCAACAGTAACGCCAAAATCTGTTGATGACATACCCGACAAGAAATGGCAGCACAAAGTATCCAATTCCAGCAAACAAATCCACAAGAACCTCATTTTTGCAGTCCAATTGGGCCATGCGTCGCTTCTCAGAAAGGTTGCCCCAAGAGAACATGCACTTGGTAGCGTCAAAAGAATAGATAATTCCATTTTCACGATGATCAACCCAGCCACTCTCTCCCACAAGAATCTCTAAGGTACTATCCCTCGTACCTGTTTGTGCAACTCGTCCCTAAAATGTACCAGCAAAAAATTCAAGGCAATATATATGAGAATAAATCGAGAAAGCAATTAGAAGGATCTCATTTGGAAAGGAAAGTTCAAAAGGAACATTCTTCAACACACAGCCGAAGCTTGATGTTCAGATTACATGTCTACATTTTGGGTCACAATCAAAGGGCATCAACATTGAAAAATAATATCATACCATAAAAAAAAACGTATATTAAAAATGACATGCCCGTGTCCTTGCAAATACATGTCTCTGTTGTATAAATAACTTACCTGACGAGCAAGGCGGCGTGTATTAAGGGATTTAGCAATAATAGGCCAAAGCTCCTTCTCAATGGAGTTCCATAATGGATTCTTGAAAGATGATATTGGAAGCACAATGATATCCCCAAGTCGCTCCCATCTTTGAAAAGAGAAAAAAGTCGATGAAGTTTGAGTAGTAACACTACATTTTCAAAGAAAACTACATCCCCTAACATAACAATGGTACGAGGCTGCCAGCAAAATCCCAGTTAAGTAACTTGTTTTGCCAGATTTCTAATTTAAAGATCACTCTTACATATGCATTAAAAAAAAAAAAAAAAAAGTGAATAAACAAACCTTGTGGGTAGCTCCTCTAGAAGCGTGATAGGTAAGCCTTTATCCTTGATTAGAGCGGCTACAGCTTCATTCATTATTTGAAAGGGAGATTTGGAAGCTTTTCTTACTTGAACAACCTCATCGACAACCTTAACAGCACCACATTCATTCAGAATGTTCAAGGCTTTCAAACTTGTGACATCATTGAAAACCGACTCTTCTGCTTTAGCTGGTTTAAGTAAATGGCCATTTTTTCTTTCAAATGAGTCCCCAAAAGCATGAAATGCATTGCAGAAATTATCATTGACGGGAAAACAAATATGTAATCCATCTTCACGAGAGTCAACCTTCCTTGCCAGATCTAGCCATCCAAACTTCTTCAATATATCCTTCCCTGTTTTGGCATATTTTCTTTCCAACTGTAAAACCCAATATGAGGAAGCAAGCTGCTGATCTCTGTCATTTAATTCACATAATAAATCACTCTCAAAATCCGTCCCAGGATCTCTAGTTAAAGCTTGAAGATGTTCATTTTCTCCACCATTCTCTTTCTTTTCCCCTTCACATGTCTTTGTAATATGCCTTCCTCCAGTTTCAGCAGATCTAAGATTAGCATCCAAAGTAGTCAGGGGAAGTAAGTTTATTTTCATTGGCTCACTAAACTTCGTTCCAAACGCATAGCAAGATGCCCCACCACCAATCATAACAAGATTATCACCAACAACATTAGCTGTGCTACGCAGAATCAAATCTTTATCAGCAGAATCGAGCTTAATATGCCTCCACATACGAACACGCAAATCAAACACCGATAACTCCTGAAAATGTTGTTGAACTGGACAACCACCAATAACACCAATATAGTTTTTGTAAACAAACATCGAGTGAGAAAACCTTGCATGTGGACTTCTTCCTTCTACCTCTTCCCTTTTCCATTGACAAGTTTCTATATCAAAACTATATAAATCTCCGAGTGCTTTCTCACCATTGTATCCTCCAAACATGAATAGTTGAGATCCACACGCCACCATAGAGTGAGAATGACGGGCACATGGTTGCTCCCCACCAACGACTAACTCTTTCCACTCCATATTAATTGTATCAAGGACATGGAAGGACGATGAAACAGTATCATTGTTTAGTCCACCAAAAACATATATTTTTGGGCCTATAACTGCAGCAACATGTCGATGCCTGTGTAAAGTTAAATGATAAACAAATAAGAGGTGACAAAATTAATTCTTTTAGAGATAATGTAATCTCATAAACACACATTTTCCCCTTTTCATGAAAGGTTCAAGTGATTAAGAAGGCATATGAAAATGAAAATACCATCTAATGTGCAATGACTGATCAAATTATGGTTTCAAGATTGAAATATACAAACGGCGAGCTCAACATAATGGCTGTGAAAAGTAGAAACAAAGGAACAGTGCTAGCTGAAGAGAAGGATAACATTACCTAGGAGGAAAATCACCAGAGCACTCTAGAAACCTCCATTCATTTTCAACTGTATTGAGGACCCAGACATCACTCAGAATATCCACAGGACCAGCCCTGCCTCCAATAACAAACATGCTATCTCCAACCAAAGATGACGTATGACCCAAGCGTGGAGAAGGGCCATGATCTGTGACAATTTCCTTCAGTGTGCCAGACCATGTATCAAGCAACAAACAATCGTTTCTTCTTCCATGTCTTCCCATGCCACCAAATCCACCAAAAACAAGAACTCCTTTCTGGTTTGAGCTACCCAATTTACAAGCCGAGTGACCCCAAAGAAAAAGCTTTTCAATTGGTTCACCAACAATTTCCATCTTAACAACAGGCATACTAGAACTGGGAACTTGAACGAATCCTGCCAATGTTTCAAAGACTCAGAGACTTGCTTTCACGTTAATTTTCACGTTAAAAGGAACAGTTTCCTGCAATCAAATGCATATTAGTATGTAATAGTACTACTCATACTACCAAATAGCAATCATTATCATTTTAATCAATATATGATATCAGTTCTAACTAGTTCCTTCAAAACTGAGTTCTTTAGCCCTATAGCGTAAGATTCCATGAAGAATTTACACCAAATCTCATAGAAGTGAAACAAACCTCGACACAATATATTAAAAAAATCAACAGGTATCAACTACTTCATTAGACCATATGTATTATAAGTTTATCCAAATAGTATACCGTGCATCTATCTTGAAAGTTTTTAAGTTTTAAGATTATACCTCTGAACTTTAACCTCTTGTCAAATTTGGAACCTTTCTAAGTCAATAGCTAATTTTGATCCTTCAATTGATTAATTTACCTTTTTCAGTTTATGAATAAACCTGTGACCAAAAACTAGTTAACAGAGTTATTCTTTACAACTTAAAATACAACTTTTACGATCTCTTTTTTGCTTTTTCTAAACATAACACCTAACTAGCGGTTGATTACACTATTCTCCATAAACTACGCCCTTATTTGTTTAACTAGTTTAGTTCAATTCAACTCAGTTTGAACAGCAAGCACAGTTTGAACTGGCGTTTGATAAGCATACAGTTTGAATTATATTCTCCGTTTGAACTAAATTAAACAGTCTAACTTAGAGTTTAGCTTCTCTCAAGTTCAATCGTTTAAGTAAAAAGTGTCTCTCTCTCTGCTTTTCACACCTACCAAACACAAATTCAAATTCTATTCCTTGTTCAAATTAGAACTTAATGTCAATTTAAATCACAGTTTGAATCTTTATGTTCAAATCAAAAGGTTCAAACCAGCGAACCAAACTGGGCTACATAAATTTGTCAATTCATAGATAAACTTAATGGATGTTTGGTTGGGAGATTTAATAATTTGAATTATGATTCATGGTTCGCTACAGTATTTTCTCTCACAAAAAATACATGTAAATCGAAAATGGTTCTAATCACATGATTCTAATCCATAAACCAAACATCTCCTTAGTCTTTTCTAGAAACATAGATAAAATGAGTTGTTTAACTCTGAATTCTGAAAATGCAAAAATTTGACATATATTTAAAATCTAAAGCAACATTCTTGACCTCATTCAAAATACATGGTATACATTTTCATAAACTCAAATTACCAGAATGGAAACCCTCGTCTTTTCCATCCAATTCCGCAGAATCGCCACCGCAAACCGAACCATTCCCACACTCAACCGGCTTATCCATCGACGCAAAGCCATTGTTCCGCAATGCTTGGAAAAACCCTTCGGTTCTCTTCCGATTCGCCTCCATTTTCTCATTCGCGATCGCTACGACGTACCGGACGTACTCCGGCGACACCATCACATTCCGCTCTCTTCCCAGCGGAATCTCCAACCGTATCGAGCACCGGATCGCGATAATCACCCTCTTGCCGGCGCTAGTAATGCCGGATTCTCTGAATCCCGCAGCAATCGCTATGGAAACCAAGGACTGAGCCGCGGCGAGGTCCCTACACTCGACGGCGAGGATGAAGGGCTCGAACCTGAAGACGAGGTCCGACGGGTGGTCGCACTGAGATGACTCAGAAGGGAAGAGGAGGTTAAGGACCGTATCGGGATCGGCCCGGTCGTGGGTGATGAAGAGCCAGGAACCGCCGGAGGCTTTTTTCTTGGGATTTGTGGAGAAGGCGGTGGGGGTGGGTTGGGAGAGGATAGAGATACGGCCGGAGCAGGAACTGGTGGTGAAGTACGAAGGGTGGGCGTTGATGGCGTTGATGAGGGGGATTATCGGGGTATCCAGCGTGCCCTTCGGTGATTTGTCCGTCGCCGTCGAATCCAGTGACGCTAGCGTCGCTTCTTTCCGTTTCTCGAACTCCATTTTTTTTTTTTTGGGAGCTCTGAAGTTTCTAGAACTTGTGAAGCAGAGGAGTTGTGGTCGGCTATTTGGGGGAGAAGGCAGCGTGAAAAAAGAGGAGAGGGAGGGCGTGTGTTTGCGAGGGAAAAAGAGAACAATGGGGAAAAGAGAGAAAAGGAGGGAAGGAAGGAAAGAGATTCTAGGGTTTTTCCTTAACCTTGTGTTGGAGAATTTGAGTGTAGCTTGTTAAAAGAAATCAGAAAATAATAGAGAATTTGAAGTGTATAAGAGTATTTGTATTGAAGATTTTATTTTTCTTCACTTTTTAAAGTTTATATTAAATTACCCTTAAGATATAATAAATTATTGAACACAATATTTAGTAATAATATTGAGGTTCAGAACATAAATTAAGTCTGTAAATTTTTTAGATAATTAATAAAGACAGAGGTGTCATTTCATGAATGAATGCATCATCTTCAAACATTACAACTATTCACATAGAGTTGCCTTTTCAATATAAAGATATCTCTTCATAAAATAATGCATCTATAGTTATATCTATTACTAATTGGTGTTCAGATATGTATGAAAACATATCACTACTGGATGTAATGGTTCGAAATGTTTCAGATCACATAAACCTATGAAAACACTGTTCCCGTTGCAGCGCGTGGGACAGAACCAAACAGACCCGAGAGGCCTACACAAGGGTGCTGTAGCGCGAAGTTTTCTGCTGCAGCCTAAATATTTCAGCTACAGTGGGTTTGGCCGAACCAAACTGCACAGTTTTGTGCAGTTTGTCTGCTGCAACGTTTCTAAACCCATTGCATCGCTTTTAAAGTCCCTTTAACACGAGTTTTCATGTTTTAACACTCAAACAACTTGTGATCTTGATCATAACATATTACAATCTCTCTAACAATCTCCCACTAGATTGTAATATTTCTCCATAATTAACAACGATAAACACATACATATATGAATGTATATTTCGATTTTAACCTCCAATTAGTGACTATACTTCATAGTATTCACAAGACAATAGTGTGCTTTGCATTAAACTTTGTCTTTTAAGCAAATACTAGAAATATATCATATATGTGTTATCTCATACTTAAAAATCTCTTCCAATCGTTTAGCACTATTTTGGCCTTGTGCTCTATCTTGGATTCATGAATATTTACAAGAATAAAGCACGGTCTTATTAGGAACGACATCATTCCTTATGTTCACTTAGGTGAAGTTTCGAATTATGTCTCCAGCTACTATGAGACTCAAACTTCATTAAGAGTGTAAACTCAACCTCAACCACGTAGCTATTTTACACTGACTTCCTAGAAGGGACTAATTAAATTTCGGCGCTAACCCAGTCACATAACAATGACTTGTTCTTACCCATTTAACTATGGAATAAAGGTACAAGTACTACATAGTTGGTTACCATCATTGGTGACTCTTTCAAAGAAAGGTTTTCGTCTCATTCTACTAGATGTTTCTTTGACAAAGTCTCATAAAAGACCTTTCGTCAAAGTATCCGCTAGGTTCTTATTTGTCCTAATATAATCAATATTAATAACACCATCGGTTATCAATTGTTTCACATATTCATGTCTCAAGCTAATATGTCTAGATTTTCCATTATAATCTTGTTATACGCTCTAGACAAAGTAGCTTCACTATCGTAGTACAAAGAAATAGATGACATCGGTTGTGGTCACAAATCAATATCAAACAATAGATTTCTAGTCATTCCACTTATTCACCCACAGCGGCAAGTGCTATAAACTCATTCTCCATCGTAGAATGAGTTATGCACATTTGTTTCTTAGAAGCCCGGCTCCTCCCGCAATTGTGAAAATCCAACAAGATGTGGATTTGTTATCTTTTACACTTGTTATCCAACTTGCATCCGAGTACCCTTCAAGTACCGCAGGATAGTCATTATATGATAAACTCAAATTAATGATTCTTTTAAGATAACCAAGTACTCTTCCAATTGCATTCCAATGTTCAATACCCGGGTTACTCGTGAACCTAGACATTTTGCATACCGCAAATGCTATGTCGGGTCTTGTACAATGCATGACATACATCAAGCTACCAATCGCACTAGCATATTCAAGCTGTGCCACCATTCGACCTGCATTCTCTAGTAATTTAATACTATAATCATATGGGGTATTCGCTTCTTTAAACTTCAAATGATTGAATTTAGGAAGCACATTCTCAATATAATGAGATTGACACAACGAGTAACCTCCATTATGCTTCCTTACTTTTACACCTAAGATAGTATCTACCTCACCAAGATCTTTCATCTTAAATTGTGAAGTTAGATACTTCTTGGTCTCATTTACCCCTTGCATGTTTGTTCTAAAGATAAGCAAGTCATCAACATATAAACATATAATCACACCAAAATTATTTGTAAATTTAGAGTATATACATTTATCCACATTATTATGCTTAAAACTATGAGATAAAATGACATTATCAAATTTCTCATGCCACTATTTTGGTGCTTACTTTAAACCATAAAGCAACTTGACTAACTTGTAAACCTTCTTCTTATTTCCAGACAATACGAACATTTCGGGTTGTTCCATATAGATTTTCTCATCATGATCACCATTTAGAAAGGCCATCTTAACATCTATTTGATGCACATGCAAATTGTATATTGATGCAATTGCAAATAACACTCTTATGGATGTCAATCTAGCTACCAGAGTATATGTATCAAAGTAGTCTATACCACGCTATTGTTTAAAGCCCTTGGCTACCAATCTAGCCTTGAATGTATGTATAGACCCATCGGTATTGTACTTTCTTCTAAACACCCATTTGTTGCTTATTGATCTTGATCCCGGATGAAGATCAACCAAGTCCAAGTTTGATTCGACATAATCGAATCCATTTCATCATTTACAGCCTCTCTCCAAAAGGAGGCATCCCTTGAAGACATAGCTTCACTAAATGTCTTTGGATCTTTTACATTAAGCAACAATGGTATTTTATTAAGTACACCATTTCTATCTCCTTCAACCAAAAAGGTTAAAGTTTGAGATCAAATAAAATCCGGTGCTAAGTCATTTTCTTTTATTTTACGTTGACTTTTTCTCGGTTCGAAAGATGTCATAGACTCTTTCCTTTTATTAGTGGAGGTACCGGGAATATCAACGCATGGTTGATCAACATTAGATTCTAATTAAATGGAAGAATCAAGACTAAACTTGTTCTTAATGAGTTCAACATCTCTTGATTCCACAATTACATTAGAATCTATATGCCTTGAAATTTTCAGTATATCCTACAAAAACACTTTTAATTCCTCTAGCACCTAACTTTGATGATTTATGGTCAATCACTCTATAAAAGGCTAGACAGTCCTACAGCCTTAAATATATCAAGTTTAGTTTTCTTCCTTTCCATACTTCATATGGAGATATATGTATTTTCATGGATGTAATTCTATTGTGAACATGACATGTAGTAAGTAAAGCTTCTCCCCATAAATTATTAGGCAATTTAACATTAAGAAGTATAGAATTAATCATATCGATAAAAATCATACTCTTTCTTTCAGCCAATCCATTTTGTTAAGGAGTGAAAGAGGCTAACCTTTGGTGAATAATATCATGCTCTTAACAGAAGGCATCAAATTCATTTGAGAAATATTCACCACCTCTATCACTTCGAACCATTTTAATCTTCTTATCTTTTTGGTTCTCAACTTCAGCCTTATAAATTTTAAATTTATCAAAGGCTTCATCTTTTGTTCTAAGTAAGTACACATAGGTGTATTTAGACCAATCATTAATGAAAGTGATAAAATATCTTTCCTCCTCTTGTCAAAATATCATTGTACTCACAAATATCGATATGAATCATATCTAATATTTGAGTATTTCGTTCGGCTCTAAGAAAGGGTTTCTTAGTCATCTTTGCTTGTATGCAAATTTCACACTTATCATTTTTAACATCTTTGCAATTAATCAAACCATGTTTAGACATATATTTCAAAGATCTAAAATTTAAGTGTACTAAACGTGCGTGCCAAACATCAAAAGAGTCAACAATATAAAGAGAATTCATATCATCTTTATTATTAATGCTAAGTTTGTACATGCCATCACAAGAATATCCATTTCCCACAAAGACCTCATTCTTAGATACAATACAATTATTGCCCTCAAGTACAATTTTAAACCCATTCTTACACATTAGACTAGCAGATACAAGATTTTTCATAATATAAGGAACATGAAGAACATTATTCAAAGTAAGTTTTTTTCCAGAAGTAAAGTTGATCTCCACCACACCTTTCCCGGTAACCATTGATGCATCATTGTTCCCCATGAGAACCATTTGTCGTTCCTTTTCCATTTTGTATGATGAGAACAATTTCTTGTCATTACAAACATGGATTGTGGCACCGGAATCAAGCCACCATTCTGAGGATTTAGTCGCAGCCATGTTGGTTTCGGTAATCATGCCAATTTACATCTCTGAGACCATAGCGCATATGTCTTCGTATTTTTTCTCAACAATATTGGCCTTGTTGGTGTTAACTTTTTCTTTTTTCTTCTTGTATCTGTAGTCATTTTGACGATGGCCTTTCTTTTCACAAAAGAAACAATTTTTAGAAATTTTCTTTTGGCCATTACCGGGCTTTTGAACTTCTTGTCATTATTGACTTTGAAGTTCTTGGAAAACTTACTAGCTTCGCCAACATTAACCTTAGAGGAATCTATAATCTTGCCCTTGGGATCACGAGACTTAGTCTCTTCTTCGATCCTCAAGTGTTTTTGTAATTCCTCTAAAGTTATGTTATCTCTCCTATGAAGGAGTTTCTTTCTATAACCATTCCAACTTTGAGGTAATTTAGCAATAATTGCCCCCACTTGGAATTATTCAGAAATTTTAACTTTCAATTTATGAAGCTTGGTAACAATGACTTGCAATTTATGTATTTGATCTAGAACGGACTTAGTATCAACCATGAAAAATTCAAGATATTTCAAGATGAGGAATTTGTCCGTACCTTCCTTCTCTGTTTTGTACTTGTATTCGAGAGCGTTCTAAATCTCCACCGGAGACTCCATCGAGTTGTAGAGATCGTATAGCCTATTAGAGAGAGTGTCAATAATATGACCCCGACACATGACTTTATCATCTTCACGCTTC